TTTTTAATTTTTATTTTTGTGTATGTTTTATAACATACATATTACTACAGTAGTATATGTATATAATTTAGAAATAAAAATATATTGGGGGCAAGCGCTCACACATTTTCTTACTGATGTAAAAAAACATGTGTGATCAAAAAAGGTGGGGTCCACTGCCTTAGATCATTCTTCTAGGTCCTTTACAGGAAGGTAAGACAGTCCTCACCCTAGAAAGCTCGCACTCAGAGATGACAGGACATGCCTGCAAAACCAAAGCAGCATTTTGTCTTCAGTTTAGGAGAAAAAGAGAAAAGTTTGCCCTTCCCTCTCTAGGTGAACTCCACATGTGGGGCTGGTACTCTACTACGCATGTTTCCTCCTAATTCTCATGGTTTACTCCTCACCACCTCCAATCCATCAAGAGTTAATACTTTAACCACTAACGTATCCATTTCCACACATTCTCCAACACTGGAAAAACATCCTCCTTCATACCCCTCTCTGTAAATTCCTCAGCACCTCAAATGCTTTCTCCGAGTTGACAGCACCTTCCACCTTGCTGCATTTCTGTGCATCACCCCCGTTTCCTACACCCAATCCTCCATCACCGAACATGAAATAATCCAGCAAAGATTTAGTATTGCAGGTGCTTTCTGTAACTTGAAACGGTGCCATATTTCATCATCCTTTCCTTCCCAGGTAATTCCACCTTATCAACTCTGGCATGAATCACTTAAAACACAACCAAATTCACATTAAAAGTCTTAGCAGGTTACTCAAAAGCAGCGCTCCCGTCTCCTTCCAAGGAAAATGCCACAAAAAGCAGATTTGGAGAAGAGATCTGAACAGGATTCGGTGGATATGAACTGGAACTGACACACTAGCATTTTCCCCCTATATAAACTGGATAAAATATAACCAAATCCGCGTGAGAACAGGGTCTAAGGATTGCAATTATTCCCACTGCCTCTCAGGTGGGGGAAAACCACATCAGCACTGCATATCCCTATCCCACACACCTGTGCATACACACATTCAAAACAAAAAATCATTAGAAAATATGAGTGCAACTTCATGCCCACCCACAGGAAAACATCAGAAGAGATACTCTGCTCTTCAAACAACACAGGTATTTCCTGACTTACAGAAGGCATGCAGGAGAAGGTGCCTAAAGTCAAAACTGAAATATCAGTAATAGACTCAAAAAGCAAGACAGAAAAGGACTGAAAAATGATAAGTGATCTGACGTAATAGATTTAAGCTCCACCAAGCAGCTCACTAGGTACCACGCACACCAGCTAAGGCATTTGTAAGATCTCTGCTACACAGGCAGCCTGCAACAGGCTAACAGAAAAGACAGCATATCCCAGTGTAATACACGCACAAAAAAATAATAATCACAGTGATAACTTACAGCAACAACATGCACATTAATTAATTGAGTTAAATTAAAAAAGAACCTCCTCCCAAACCTCAGGAGAAACCCCCGTTCTCACTGTATCAGCAACCACCGGTACCTCTCGCTGCTAGAAGCTACCCAGGAAGCAGTGACGACTTGCACTTGGGACTCTGACCACTTTCACTTTCTAGATGTAAGCGGACCAGCACAAAGACACATATTCCCACCCGCTCCTGCCTCCCAAATACCTAATGTTGCCTAATTTCTACAATAAATTCAACACACAATAAAAAAACCCAAAATCTAGAAATCACAATTATTGCATGAATAGTTGATGAAAAATCCTTTGTGACATTTATGCATTTATTTCTAAATATCAACACACTGAGGACAAATAAATCGGGGGGCAGAGGGGATGACAGATGACCCCAAAAATATTCTGTAAGATATTTGCAGAGAGAGGAAAAACTCTTCCACCAGCAAAGCTGCAGGTGCCATAGAGAA